ATGTATGTGATATATATATATATATATATATATATATATATATGTATTATTTCACAATATAATATACTATTCTATAATAAAATTGTTTGTTGACTTTGATAATTGAATTTATTGCAATTAAAAACACGCATAATTAAATTTAAATACTGAAATATATATAGAAAATAAAAAATTGAATTAAGATTCAAAGATTAAACATGTTTCATGCTCATGCAAAAGAATAATATTGATATTATTTCGTATTGTAAGTCGTGAGCACTCCGTGAAATTAACGGAAACTTATAATACAAACAAAAACCTTGTAAAAGAATTCCACCACTGAGTGGGTGAGGGTTTGACAAGCAACATGTGGACCATTCGCCTCAAACGACTGAAAAGATTTAAGACTTTGTTATGATAGTCTTAATCATGCGATATCTTTTAATGTGAGCAAATCGCCTAGCACATTTAAAAAAATATATTTGTGCATACGTGCAATAAAATATGAAAAAAAATGTGATTCACGATTTGCTCAAGCTTACAATGCTTACGATGTTGCAAAAATTCAGACCAACCTGTCTCTGTAAAATAATACCCATGCTCCTTGAAAGCGGCTAAACATGAAATCTTTTTGTTAGTGTTTAATATTATAAATTTAATAATTATAAATCAGTATAAAAGATATAATATTTTTCATAAAAATTATAATAAGAAATACTAAAAAATATTTGATAATATCAAACAAATGCACCATAATTTTATATTTTTTTTATAATTTAATAAATGTGAATTTAAATAAATATGATTGCTTTTTAAAATAATTTCTTAGGAGCTTTTTCATATAAAATCTACTTAATAATCAATATTTTAAGGAATTGAACTTACGGGAAAGCTGCCATTGTTGCTAATTTAACGAAGATTTCACGTCGTACTGTACGGGAGATGCTATAAGGTTGCGGTGGCATTAATTTATATTTATTACAAAAACTTATTGGCTGTAGCAAATAATCTTGTTTTACTTCGGAAAGATCACTTTTATTTGCTATTATAAGAACAGGAATCTTACTATCTGCAAAATATTTCTGAAAAATATAATAAATCATAAAGAATAATTCCAATACTTTTTCACAAAATTATATAAAACTTGCTTACAATATAAATCCGTGCAATATATTCAAATGATTTGGGATTACTAGCATCATAAACAAGAGCTGCCACATCACATTGAATTTGTGCTGGAGTTAGAGCATCCTGAACATTAAGTATATTTATATCTCGTAAAATTATTGTCTTTTCCTGACCATACACATGTACTGTATTTACAGTAATATGCGAACTCGGTGGCACCACTTCTTCGGTCAATTTCTGCAATTATATTATGTGTTATATATGTTATGTGCATGATTATATATGCATAAATATATATACCTCAAGCTTAGGGTCAATAAATGTTCTACATAATGTTGTCTTTCCACTACTTTTTGGGCCAATTACGTGACAACTATAAACATTTCTGCTTGACTGTTTTTTTGCTAAATCTAACTTTTTTTCACGAGTAACTAGAACCGCATTTGTTTGACATTCATTATTATACATGTTGTAACCTAAATATGCCATGTATTCTAATGTTTTTCGCACATTTGTAAGAGTTAATAATGACCATTGACACATATATCCTTGAAATGTAATCCATCCCTATTGCAGAAAAGATATTATAAAGAAAATATAAAGAGATTATAATGAAAAAAATATATACCTTTTCATTAGTTGGTACGATATATTTATATTCATCCCCCCAAGGTGGAGTTAGACATCGTGAAAACAATGATTCCATTTCTAATGGAGAAAGCGCACCATCTCGATCTCGATCATGTTGCATAAATAATAATGTTAAAAATTCTTGCCCTTTATGTGATAATTCAGTCGTACATCCAACTGGAATCTTTAATCTATATATTATATAGAAAATAAATATAATAATAAAACAAAGTAAAAAAATATTTAAAATATCTTTTATTATGTACTAACTGTGGATATATATATTCTTTTGACATTTGTAACTCATTGTCATAACCAAATTTTCTTAACACAGCCCATGTTGTTTCATTTCTTCCTCGTTGTATAAATAAACATTGAAGATACATAAAACCTAAAAATAAAAAGAATATATTTCCATATTAATCTTTCGAAAACATAATATGTAAAATACCTTTCATAGTAACACATCCACAACAAATGCCATCTTGAATATTTTTTGATAATACAGCTTTTACATCCTCCAATACTTGTGGTTGTAATGGAGTATTAAAGCACCATTGTTGAAATGCATTTAGTTCCATATCATTTAGCAAACCATCATTGTCTAAATCACATATCTGTATATAAAATGTTATTATATAAGTATATAACATATATAAAATATATTCACTTAAGAATGTAATATAATATAAAAAAGAATATATTATATATACCCACTTTAAAAATTCTTTGTAGTGCTATTTTACATTCTTCGGTAAGCTAAATATTAAATTAATATATCATATTAATAAATTGTTTATATATGTTTTAAACTATGTATATATTATGATTTTTACCTCCTGAGTATCATAATTATAAAGTGGTGTGGTAGGATGTAAAACAGCTTTTTGTGCATAATAAAATGTTTCTGAAACATTTTGTAATGTTTTGGCAGAACACTATAAAAATATAGCATGAATTAAAAAATTTTATTATGAGCTATTTAATTATATTATATTATTGTTATAATCAATTTTTTTTTTACCTCAATGCAACTCTCAATTTCAGTAAATTCTTTCATTATAGGATATACAGCCTAAAAAAAAAAAAATAATAAATAAATAAAAAATTAAATTAAAAAAAAATATATAAATATATAAATCATTCAATTTATTAAACCTCAATCGTAGAATAATCAACGAGATCAATTTTATTTCCCACAAGGACAACTGGACAACGATTATTTGATGAACATCGTCTAATCAATGGTAACCAGTAAGTAGCTGCCCTGTCCAAAGTATCCTCATCAACTACAGAATATACAACACAAATTACATGTGCTTTTTGAATTTCATCAGTTAACTGATCTTCAGTTTGTTCAGCAGCTATAAATAAAAATTACACTAATGTGATGATCAACTAGTTGTCATTTAATGTTTATAAAAACAATGAAAATATCATTTTTAAATACCTGAATAATCTACAATGTGTGTTGGTACTTGTTCCGGTGTAACGTCAGCCGGAATAGTAATTTCTTCCGCTTTACAGGGTACATCTTCTGCATATTCTTCACTAACTAAAGATAATATTAAAGAAGTCTTGCCGACTCCGCGATCGCCAATTAATAGAATTCTAACATTGCGCCTAGGCGCCACTGAACGTTGTACCATGTTGATTTTGATAAAATAATTATTGCATGTAACGCCGGCATTCACTGTCTAATTTTTTAAAAACATTTTTCGTAGTTTTTCAACTAATGTATCGTACTATATTCTAACCTATATTTTACATCTATCAGCAACTAAATTTCACTCTCAATAATTTTTTGACCTTTCACGAAGACATTTTTATCAAAGATTGTCTACGATCAGAAATCACAATATAATTCTTAAGATTTATGTAGATAAAAAAAAATATTACTTCACCCGCTATGATTGAACTTATGCTTCGAGGGTGGCCTTTTCAAGGTTACGTTCGGTACCTCAAATGACAGCAAACACATATAAAATGTGTACACGTGCGCATATAAATGTAAAAAAGTAATTAAAAGAAGCGAAAGGATAGTAAATAATAATCTAAATAATTATTTCGTTTTCGATTGATACAATAATTACAAGAAACAAGATGAACAGAAAATGATTCTATTTTTGGAATGAATTTAATGGATTTATAGCGCCCACATTTAAATCACATATTGTACTTGTTATACATGAACTCATAGAAATCGATAGTGCTTAAATATTTTGCAATTTGAGATTAATTTCTAAACATTTTTTAAAATATTAAATATAAATTTACATTTTTATTCTCTATTTTCTCTTTCTTATTCTCTAATTATGCATAAAATTTTCTAATTATTATAAAATTTTAAAAATATAAAAATATAAATAAATAAAAATCATATAAATATCTTATTTAGTTTTTAATGTTTTTAAAAAATATTTACATAAAATTTTAT